AAACAATCGACAATGTCGTATCCTGTGCCATGATCCATGTCGAACAGGGCATAGGAGTCTAATCAACTACTTGCCTATAATTCAATCAGTAAAACGCACATAACAATATGTCCGCCCCACCCCCCAACGGAAACAAAAACATATTTTGATATCCGAACGAAAAGTAGCGGGACGCTTAACTACGTGGACATCCTCAATTAGGTTAGGTACACATTCGCGGAACCGAACAAACCATTTTCGGTCGATTGGACAATGTAATTAATACTCAGGGTTACCCTTAATTGCAGGCGACAAAACCGACAGCGTTCGACATTGTTATCAAATACCACTCCTTGCCATTACTTAGCAACAGAAATGATTAGTCCAAAGACAAAATGTGTACAGTGACATGAATAATGAAGTCTTCGACTTTCAGTAGAGCAAATTGGTATTGTCTATGAACAATATTGTTGTTCACAACATAATAGCATTGTTTAACACGCACGCCCGAATACGGGTCGTGTTAAATTCAAACGCCCGTACGGTACAAAAACGTGGTTTATACGCCGTTTCATTACTGAAGTTTTAATATTCGAAACGACCTCAATGTAGTACGAAACAATAGTTAAACAATGTTTGACACGTAACGAGGTAGTGGAGAGTTGGGGCTTTGTTGATAGTCTGTTGTGACCTAAACCGGGGTGCGCGATAGATCGTGCAATTTTAATCGTAGCACGGACTTTGTCGGTATTAAACCCGGCGCTGCACCATTTCATACTTGCTTGCTTATAGATATTACAGAAACGAGATTATTCAAATAAAACACTTTTACGTCCCGAAACACGGTTGCTTACAATACATGACAAACGTTGGGCCGTAGTTAAAATAAATTGTAAGTCAGTCAACTAATAATATTTCGCGTTTAAATCAATCGTGTTTTCACCGATAGCAATGTATGATGTACTAATCATCAACGGGTCGATGATTATCTCTGTATATATGTTTATTTTCTGAAACATTTTAGACTTCGTCTGAAAATTTCTTTGTTAAATGGGTACAAGAAATATGATCGAACCAAAGCCAAAATAGGCCGACAGCGCATCTTATTTAGACATTTTATGGCTGCAATATTTCACCTTCTAATGAACCACATGCGTGTCTGTCGTGTCGATAATAAATGTATAAAAATCGTGTAGTGTAAATTCAAATTCTAGCTTCGGTTCTTTTCTAGACTAAAGTTGACAGTGCATCTTAATTAGGCTTTATATTAGGTATTCGCTTAACCGTCTCTATACCCTGGCTACAAAAGTCATAAATCCGACAATTTAATCGGACCTGTAATCAAAAGTTTAAAGTTCTGTATAGTCCAACACACAAATCAAATAAATGAACGGTGAATTGTGTCCACTGTCGTCTTTGTGCTTTTGTTTGTATTTAAAAGCTTTTAATTGTATTTATTTCGAGTGCGGGACCGGGTCTCGATCGTCCCGTAAGTGCTCTCAGTGGGCAATAGGGGGTATTTCTGTTTGCACTGTTGCCTGCATTGTTGATCCCGATAAAAATATTATTTTGAAATGAACCATTCTTGCCAGTTCTCCTCGTCCGTTCTACCGCTATAATTGAAGAACTGGTTGTAAATTTGAATCTTTTGGTTTTTTTTTATTTATTGTAGTGTGTACGAAATCCCTTTTTCCCCCACGTGGGGCATGGGGCGAATACATTTTTGTGACCGTTTCACTGATCCGTTCTTTAACTGAGCAGTTCTTTATCAGACTCTGAGCACTGCCCGACTAAAACATTTTTTTTGTTTCCCTTTGATTCGAACCCAAGACCTAACGCGCTTAACGCTTATGCAATACGTTTAACCATTTGGCTATAGAGGCGGTCCTTCATTATAGTGACTTTGCTTAATTAAAATGTACCTACATAACCAAATTCTTTTTTACGTTTCTCCGAGAGGTACATCTGACGTTCGTTCGTAATGTGGGTAGTTCCATTCTTAAATGTGTTTTTAAAATTTATTACATGCGTCATCGACAATTGTGTATATTATTATAGCCTTTATAAAAGGTCCGTGTCCCAGCTGTGGGATAAAGGATTATTAGACCAACAATTGTTAATATAAAATATTTTTTATTTCATATAAATGGTATGCTAATTTGCAGACCAAGACGAAATTGTATATCTGGTCCACCGTAGAAAACCTTCAGAATTATCAACCGGGGGTGGTTTGAGGCGGACCGCACTTAATCCTTCTCAAAGAAGGCTTTGCTTAAACGAGTTCTAACGAGCTAAAGATAAAACAATTACTGGCGACGTGATTAAGAGTTACTGAGGACACTTGTTACGTCTTACTATGACGGAACGATCCTTCATTTCTTCTAATATGACAATTTATAGACTTCTATTCATTGTAAAAAAAAATGTTAGTTGGTACTGCTAAACATCGAACCATGGACCTCGTTGTCTGCGTAAATCGTATTAACTACACGACTAAATGGGCTGATGTAATAAACATAAAATAGATAAACCAACTCCAGATTTGAACCTTGAACCAAGTCGAGCGTGTTACTAGACCAATACAAAGGATAAACAAAAAAATTATGCGCACGCGCAGATAACTGCGTTAAACGTATTTACTATACGACAAAATATGCTGTTAGTTAACATCATAACTAAATATCGTGATTCGACGCCTAAATCATCTGCCGAAGCGTGTTAAACACTTGACCAATACAAAGTATAAACAAAAAAGTACTGCGTATGCGTCGATTGTGCTTGCCTATACAGAGATGCACAGAATGAGGGCGAAACAAAACACTATCACTTGATAATCATTTTCCAATAACGTATTAATGGCCCACCCTCGCCGCAATCAGAATGTGTCTACAAAAACAATTACGCATCAAAGCGTCCTCCGCCGCTTTCTTATATGCTTTTCACATTTCCATATAAGTTGAGGTATAAGCGAACCAATCTATTCACGTCTACACATCAGGGGGTCCACATTTGCATATAGAGCAGAAATTTATTAAATCTACAGCCAATATCCAGCTTTCCGACATTGAACTCTCACTTATTCATTGCGTTTCTGAAAATTTCATTTGATTGTGAGAGGTATTCGATGTAGCCTCGTCTCATTGTAAAACATTCAGTACGTTTTTGTTTTAAAATTCCCTTTCTCCCACTTCTCGCTAAGTAATTCGCGATACAGATTTCTTTTTCTTAGAATCTATCTTGTTGACGTCACGGCGGAGATAATAAATAAGTAAACAATTTAAATCCTTCCGAAGGGAAGCTTTTAACAATACATTTTAACTCCCGTCCCTTAACCTCTGAAAGCGAATGCGAAAATTATTTAATGCTGTATATATTTACTATGCACCATCTTGAAGAGTATATAAAAATAAAACAAATATGCATAAAATCATTGCATAACAATTATCGAAAATTCAATAAGTCGATTTTTAATATTTGAACTTAAACCGACATCCACATCGTTCCGTGGTTCAATTTGTCGCTGCTGCTCTAACCAATTGAGCTAGCGTGTCTTACACGTCATCGTCGAATTTTTTCAACCCTTTTAAATAAAACACTTTAACGGTTTAAAACGCGATATTTTTTTTTAATTATTTTGGACCCCGGCTGCTGCAAAGCATCCGAAACGTCGGGCCGAAGTTAAAAATAATTTCCAAATAAGTTTAACTAATATATCGCGTTTTAAACTGTTTAAGTGTTTTATTTAAATGTGTACTACTCGCGTAAACTATAGACAATACTTAAAACTCTTACTTGCGTATTACGATTCAATTTCTTATGCTACACATGCTATTTCTTACAGCTTTAGCAAATTAGCCCATTCAAGTCATACCCGTGTCGTATTGTTTTTAAATCTACTTTCGATTTTTAAATCATAATATAGTGCCATCATGTGCAATAATGTGTGAGAAATATTTCAAGTTTACAAAAGTGTTTCGTATCTTTCATTTTTATCAAAGAAGAAAACCGTACGGTTAATTGGTGCGGTATAGGTCGTAGTGGACAGTGGACACAAGCCGCGGGCAACCGGAGGTCAGCCACGGTCTCCTAATGAAACGACTTCAGAGGAAACGCCCGGGGCACAATTATTGAACCGTTTGAATTAAAGAAGCAAACCGTTCCTCTGAGAGTGCAATAAAAATTCAACTGCGACATCGATACTTTGTCGCAATTTTAATTGCTCAAATACTTTAATAGCTCCGCTGTTAACCGCAAAGTAATTTCACCGCTGCTGCCACTATTTCTAGAACTTTTAACTGCCTCTTTGGTCTAGTGGCAAACGTAACCGACTGCAGCTCGTGACCTGCCTAAACGTTCTGGCTTTCACATCCTGGACCTGGGTAGTTCAAAAATGGAACTAAAAATCGAGAATTTAAAAACAAATATAACCAAGCAAGGAGTTTATAAACAGTGCCATTGTCTCTGTCTCTAACGGCGCTCAATAACCACGATACCTTGGAGGGTATCTTCACAAATTTACTGACGGTAATTATTACGGCCCACGCAGCGGGATGGGTCGGTAAACTTCAAGCTTTTTGAAAGAGAGTTAACCTTACTGCGGCATTAGTAGTTTAGCTACCTAGTGATGTTTAGCTACCTGGTACTCAACAACGTAACCGACCTTGTCAAAGCGTTATTTTACATCAAAAAATATCTTTATCACTTTTTGCGTTGGTCCAAAACAAATCCCAACTAACATCAGAAGCTACGGTATATATTTAAATAAAACTCTTTCAACGCATTAAAACTTCAAATATATTATGATATCTATTTACATATTTTTTTTCTTAACTTTACAAGTAAATAAATAATAACTTATAAATATCCAATAAGCGGATACGCAGTAGTAATCGAAAAGTTGTCAGGCCCTTTTTCACTCAATGGAAAATATATCGTGTATACTCTGTGGACGTCGCGAGAATAAAGCTCGCAGGAATGGGTTGAGTGCTGTTGCATTTTAATTAATTCCCTTTTCTATCGCGATGCGCCGTTATCAGCCTCCCGCAGGCGTCCGGGACAAACAAATTTCCCAACGTAACCATTTTGACACGGTCACGTTGGAATTTTTCTTCTTTGCAATCGATACTCTGTTGATACACGAACGCTTTTTGTTACTCGAATCGAGAAGTTTTATAACCAATATAGAAGTATGCTAACCAAATTATTACAGCTTTATAAGTCCCTTGTAAATCTATTTTAGATTTAACAAATAATAATAAAATGTCAATTCTCGTTTCACATCGTGGGGCATGGGGCAAACACATTTCTATGTCCGTTTCTGTCCGTACTGATTTGAAACCACGACCTCTCCCGTTTCTCAATGCTTGATGTCATTTAATCATTTAGCTATAGAGTCTCCTAAATTCTATTTGTCTATTTATATTAATATAGATATAGATAATAAAAAAAGAGTCACAAAAGATACATTACGTGGCTTTTGTCTACTATTATATCGACATTAATTTCAAAATATCTAAAAACAATCAGAACCCGAATTTCTCATACATGTAAGTCAAGTTTATCCACGTTTTCATTTTGTTCCCAGGCCCTGGACGGCCAGAACATTTACAACGGGTGCTGCACGCTGCGCATTGACTACTCAAAGATGACCTGCCTGAACGTCAAGTACAACAACGACAAGTCGCGGGACTACACCAACCCAACGCTGCCCTCTGGCGACGGCGACACCCACCAGCTGTTGACCAGTGAGTTGATGTCACTGAGGGCTCGCATCCTGGCCCACGCCTCCGGGAAGAGTTAGTCCAATACTACCACACCTGGACGCTATCGCACCTCTCTTTTGTGTACACACCCGAAGTTTACCTTCCCTTATGAAGTTTAAGTGCTTACAACGACGTATAATGTCCCCGAAATGGGTGTTAAACAATGTTTGTTTTGTGTAGTTTCGAAATCTTGACACGCTAAACCCGATTTCACCATGAAATAACTGTAAACGATTTTTTGGTAAAATTTGTTGCTTCTACTTAAGTCACATTGTAGTAGACACATCCTTATATGGAAATTGTAATGTTGTTGTATTAATGAAGAATTTCTTAACTTAAACTTATGCATAATTGCTATTAAGGTAATTATTATTAAGGGACAGGGTTTGCCATATAATGTACTTACTCAACTAAAAAAAATACAAGTTGAAACAACCCACCCAAACTCTACTCGTTCAAATATAAGATCTATTCTATTCCTTTCAATGTCTTAATCTCAAGGACTACTTACACTTACGTCCAACTACGTACACTTATATCCAACAATCTTTTTTCCAAATGCGGATCTAAGATTTAGAATCATAAATTACAGACCAAACCTAAACTTCTCTATTAAGCTCTATAAGTGGCTCCTTCGCTATACCATTCTATCTCTTATCTCGTTTATTATTCATAATCAATTCTAAATGTTTCCACAGTGACTAATAACTTTTCATAAGTCCCTACTGCACCGTAGAGGGTTGTGATATATGGGGATTATTCCGACATAGTCGATTTGTTGCTTTTGTTGTGTAATGCCGTTTTACATTCAAGGGTTCCAGCAAAAAGATAACATGTTTCATGTCGGGAGGCGGTCTCTGTTTTTGTAGTTCTTTGTTCTCGACTCATTCATTGGAATATGTTCATGTCAACAGAGCATTCTTAACAAATTAATATTATTGTGGTATAAGTGCCAACAAAGACTTAGCAACCTAAAAAAATATTTAATATTTAAATTTCTCGTAATTGACCGCTGCCGTTAGTTATAACAGTACCTTAGTACGTTAAAGGGGAGTTATTTTGTGTTAAAATCTAAGGGAAATAAGATCAGTTTCGGTCAGGCAGGGCGATGAAGTCAAATCAACAATTTCAGCAATAAAAACATTAACATAAACACAGTGATGTGTTGGTCGCTGGCCAAAAAGGAAGATGTGATCACTCTTTTTTTACTTTTATTTTCTTGCCATTAGGTGGTGGTGTTTTAGCGCCCCCGTTCCTTGGTCTTGGATCAGGGTTAGCTTCGCCGTACGGTGTCGGGGTAGGCGGTGTTGGCCTGCCTGCATTTGGAGCCCTAACCCTAACACCGGCCTCCCCCGCTCTCAGAGCTTTGGCTGCACCTCCATTGCCGCTCGCAACCGTCCTACTCGTATCCAACTTAAACGAAGAGGTTTGTACCACCATTATCAATATACATTCCAATAGCATTGTTTGTTAAATATTAAAGTTAGAGTTAGTATCCATACGCAATTTAAGAAATAAATTGATGATCAGACTAGATTGGAGACTTGCTAACAAATAGCCGGTAATGTCTGTGCAATCATAAGTGGGTCCACCCATCAGACTAATTGTCCTCAAGTTCACCAGAACGGCGTTACGGGCTATTCATTTATATATTCCATCCTTAAATAAGTTGCTAATTTTATTTATAGATATAATGTCAGATCTTTTACGACTATTTATAATACTATCTCTTTCTCTTTCCTATTGTTTTAGATGGTCACGCCTGACGCTCTCTTTACCCTTTTCGGTACGTGTGCACATCCGTATTTTATATTAAAACATATTAATATTACTACTGAGCCCCTTTGCCTGGAAGACAAATTGTCTAACATTCTACTCTTACTGATAACCGCATCCATTGACTTTTGGCGTCGAAGCTTCGCTTGTTAACACTTCTATTCTGAGACCATTCTACGCTTATTAACTCGACAATTTGTGTTTCAGACGATATAGTTGTAGCTGTTAGTGATACAGAATGTTCTTTTGTAATTCCATTATTGCTTCCGAGTAACGAAGCTACGACATATGTTAGACTAGCTGTTGTTCGATAAGTAGATATTGAATTATAGACAATCATACAATAAGCTAGCAAAATTGTAGGTGATGATAGCTATGGTATCATTGTGTGTATTATGTGCTTTTTAAAAATTGCAGTTGTATCTCAATTTGTGAAATATAATCGGACGCTTAACGTGACCAAATAGAATATAGAATTTTCTCTCTATTACTTCCTCTATCTAATTTCAACGATAGACAGTATTATTTATTCAGTGTAGTTGATGATAACGAAAATGCAATACAAAAGCTACCCGCCACTAGAAATGATTCTGTGAAATAAAAATCTCCATTGTGCCGTATGTAACACACTTTTACCATTTAGGCGTATACGGTGATGTGCAACGGGTGAAGATCCTTTACAACAAAAAAGATTCAGCTCTGATTCAGATGGCGGAACCGCACCAGGCCCATCTAGGTATGTGATCCTAATGACTATTGTAATAAAGGGGAATTTTCTATGCGGAATTATTGCTTAGAAACAGCGTATTATTTTTGCCTCTCAGCACGTTACCGTCACGGAGTTGTGGATGTTCTAGTGCCAGTTGAAACTACGTACAAACAAATCGTATGATAATCGCACTTGTTCAGAGATACTCAATATTGTTTTGATAGCAAGGGGGGCTTGTTTTTACATCTATTTTATCATTTTAAATTTGTTATTTTATTTTTAACACGGCATATGCCACTCAGATTGTGCTATATCGTAACTAGACCCTCTTAGTGCAGAACACAATGAAATGGGAGTAACAAACTTTGACTTCTATGGTTTTTAATTTTCTTTATTTTAAATATAAGACTATTATAAAATTTTAGCAATGACTCATATGGACAAACTGCGCGTGTTTGGCAAAGCAATGCGAGTGATGCTCAGCAAACATCAGACAGTCCAGCTGCCTAAGGAGGGGCAGCCAGATGCTGGTCTTACACGGTACGTCTTATCAACTTATTAACGTCCCACTGCTGGACATTAATACCTTTTGTCATAGGGGTGAGGGTTTAAGGGGTCCCACGCGCTACTCTAATGCTTACACAATTGCTACTTAATAAGTTATAAAAGCTGGGACCAACGAGCTTTTCAAGGCACGAGGATGGTAACTACATTTACTTCCTAACTCCGGGCTAGTAGAACTTACATTTTACCCGACCTGGGTTTCGAATCCTGAAGCTTCTCGAGTGTACGAATCTTTACACCAAAGAGGCGGTTATAATAAATAAGTAATATCTATATACATTATAGGACCGCTGTCCAATATTAGTGTTGATTGACCTTCCTTCGCTAATTCCAATACCATTCTACCTAGTTAGTACTATTATTAGAGAATATTACGTTTATTAGAGATCTTTTAAATGATATCTCAATTTATTAAACGATCAATTTCTCTCGTCTTACTCTTTTTAATTTAATAAAAACAATATAATGATTTCTAATTTTATGACATTCAACATTCCAGTGATTACTCACAAAGCCCCCTGCATAGATTCAAGAAACCGGGCAGCAAAAATTATCAGAATATCTACCCACCCAGCGCTACATTGCATCTATCCAACATTCCGTAAGTATCTATTATTATCATCAGCCTTCATGAAAATAGGTATCATTTCAGAACCTGATACGCCGTTACTTAACCAGTTCCTAGAACCTAGATAGTAATTTGAAGCTTTAAGATTCTACCTATGTTTGACAACTCTAGTGATCTGACGTTTAACTTTTGAACGAAAGCTTTTGCAAAGACAATTATAAGAATATGTTTTGGTTTAATAAATAAAAACTGTATTGCAATATAAAAGGTACAGAAAGAGTATAAGAATTGGTCCCAACTCAAAGGGTACGAGGGTAGAAAAATGCCATTCACAGAGTAAGCTGTTTTAAATGCTAGTTCCGCGAGACAGTCAGAATGTCACCTAACATTTATTCCGCATTCCGTAAGTTATTGTTCAATTCCACGGAGGATCCCAGTTAACAATAAATGTTTGTCCCCAGAGCGACCGTTTCGGAGGATGACATCAAAGACGCCTTCACTAAGCGTGGTTTCACGATCAAGGCGTTTAAATTCTTCCCGTAAGTATTTTTTTTGCATACAGAATGCTGTTATCTTTGCTTACAAACCATTTTGTGTTAATACATGCGGGTTTTTATAAACATTATGTATATAAAACCCTAGTTCTTTTTTGTGCTTTGTAATACTTAAGCTAGAAAGGCTTTCACGGCCGTCGTTCAGCCTATCATGTTTTTCGAGCCGTTCAGCTGACTAGAGCTCAGAAGACTCTCGCCGTTGGTCGTGATGGCGACGGCAACGTCGAGAAGCTTCTCGATTGGACGATGCGCGTCGAGAACCTTCACGCCCGAAAACAATGAAATATTGTAAAATATGATGATATCTTGTTTCATATCGCATTTATTTATTAGATAGAAAAACTATTTAAAAGTTGCCAACTGTTAGATTTTAATTAGATGTTTTCTAATACCTCTATGATGAACTAATGGAAACCTTTTTGTATCTGTTTTAAAAGATAGTACTCAATTTCCAGGAAAGATCGCAAGATGGCGCTTGTCCAACTGCCCACTATCGATGACGCAGTTGCCGCGCTTATCAAGATGCACAACTACCAGCTCTCCGAGTCCAACCACCTTCGGGTCTCCTTTTCCAAGTCAAGTATTTAAACACCAGATAGGAATATCACACAAGCGTCGCATTCTTGGCCAGTGATACAGGGAAATACTGAGCAAAATCTCAACTATTAAGATGCAATTTCATCCAGAGATTATGACATATATGGTGTAAACGGCTGTCAGTTGATAATATTAATGTCAGCTTCTATAAAAATTTCATCAACTTTCAGCACTGTTAATATTTCTCCCTGAAATTGAGTCTTAACCATTAAATTACAAACAGGCCGAGCGACTATTATTTGTTTATCTACGTCAAATTGAACTTCAACTTTAAAATAATAACTTACTCCTAAAACAAATGGCATGTGAATGAAAGTTGAGATATTGCTTGTATATTATCTGTGAATATTAAAGCCCACGCGACTACCTCTCTCATACTCGGGAACTCCTCGACTGAAAATTATAATGTATCTGTATTACGCTTACTTGGAACAGTTTAGACGATAAGTGCTAATTACTCTACTTCCCTAGTGAATATGTACCTTTACATAATTTAAGAAAGCGCCATCTGTCGGCGTCTACTATACTAGCGGTAGGTCTGTTATTTATAACCTGCATTCAGAGAGGTTTTTATATTTTGTGTGGTATTTCATTCCGTCAAGTTAATTTTTCACATTATATTTTATTTTTTATATAGATATACTTTTACAGTGTTTCGATCAATTCAACAGAGCAGATCGCAATGAAATTGCGCTAGGATGATTTCCATTTTTGGCAAAATGAATTTAAAGCAATGTTAGACATTGTATCGGTTGTTTTTTATATTACAGGCTTATTTACATTATTAAACATATTATATTCAACACTGCACATTGTTAAATATATTAATATAATATTTCCTTTGTCACACGATATGAGTTGCAGTTATCGCTATAAGATTATAGTTTATAAATATATTTTATTCACTATTTTAAGATGCACAATTTATTACTGCATTTTCAATTAATTAATTATACTTTTGTGCGCATACACACTTTTGTTTCAACGAATCACTGCAGCCGTTTAGAGAGATGTGTATGTGTGTGCAATATTAGTTTTAGACAATTTTATTAGTGTTGTTAAGCGTAAACTCGGAACCGGTTGCAACCGGTTCGTCACTTCACTTCCATATTGTTTCGTTATTTAGAAAAATATTCTGTTGATCGTTTCTACAGTAGTTGTCTCGAATAGTTAGTGTAATCACGACTCATTTTAACGTTAACGAGTGCGGTTCACAGAAGATATATTAATTGCTACGAGCCTAATATAACAGGAATTGTCATATCTTTACGAGGCGTAGACTATAGACTATAGTTAATAAAACTATCACTAAAGTTAAGTTCAGTGAAATAATAGTGACATGATGCATTTATTTGATGTTAATTTATATTAATGGTAGCTACAACATACTATAAATGCGCGTGCATGTTTCACTAAGTGATTGTAATTTATTTATTTCCCAGTACCGTCTGACGACCAATGTTATTGATATGAATCGATAGCATAAGCCAACTGGCTCTTATTGGGAAACACGATCTGATGTGACGTTTCGTCAGTGTTCACTAAGAACGCGATCTCCTATAAACGCCGTAGCCCGCGTAAAGCGTAACGCTGCGTCAGAATCTTATTTTTCAGAGCGCGATCATACTTACGAGTGATCGGCGATTAAAGGAGAGCGCAGCGTAACATTGAACTTTAAAGCGACAGTATTTTAGAATAAATCCTCTCGATACTATGTATATACGCTCGGCTCTGTTTATAACTTGCGTTTACTATGATTGGTTTTCACACATCTTTGCCTTCTTAATTTAAAGAAAATATGCGTCTAGTCCAATTCAAAAGAGATTAAGTTGTGATTTAAGTGATTAATGTAAAATTCTAACGTTTACTAAAACATTATTTATTTAAGACGCTCTCGATGTTTCTCAAATGATTAGGACCAGTTTAAGTGTTCAGTTACACGTCCATAAAATGTGATTAGGCAAACATGCGTGAAACAGAGACCTGATTTGACGAGTTAAGTGAATTGTTAACGTGCTGTCTGCACGTCTACAATAGTTAATCAATTATTTATCAGAAGTAAGTAATGTAAGATTTTTCAAACTGTTCCCATAAGGACACGGTCTTAGCCGTAAACGGTGATTCCAATCTTCGATACCTCAACTGATTCTAGGTGTTGACAATTGAATAGAATGTTGATATAAGGAATATACATTCAACGGGATTAACTATACCTTGTCTTATTTAGGATGATGAGTTTGACAATTTACAATGGGGATTGTTTTTTGAAAATTATTCATCTCAGTGTTTCGAACGCGTAATTCAAATATGTCCAGTTCATTTATTCGTTTACAAGGTACGTAAGGGGAATTTCAGTCATTATAGTTATACTTGTTATCCTAAATTAGGCGAAGTTAAATCTACTTTTATCGTACATTTTAGCTTGTATCTTCGAGTCACAAACATTGGGCTGTGGAATGCATAGTCGTACACATATTGTTTCGCTGTCATGTTGTAAAATTGCATTTACTTTTCGAAATATATAACGACAAACGGCGTGTTAAATACTAACTACGAGTGTGCATTCCGCTCTGTACTAACTATAGCGCAGACCTTAAGAATCACATATTTACACTATTATATCATAATTATACATCACGTATTAATTAATGATAAAACTAGAGCTTAGTAAAGTGGTTAAATTATTAGTTCTCAATAAGACGTAAAATTTGTTAGAGAGTTGTAAAGTCGTATTCGTATCGGTCGATAAATATCAAAGGTTAAACGTGTAAGTAGATCGGTTTAGATAACGTTAGGTGACCAGGGTGTGGTATATTTTGCACAATTTTGAAGATGTCTTACTTATACGGTGGGCCTGTGCCTATATTCAAAATTCGAACTGCGGTTACTTAGCTATCGGTAGGTATATGGAAGGGAAATGGACTGTAAAAAGCGTTTACGGTTGCAAAGGATAACTCAGTAATTTAACGAAAACCATCGTCAAGAAATTACATATCTATTGTATTCACGAACGCTACACACTAGGCGCAGGCAAGTTTTCGACTTTATCCTCCAGTAGAGAGCAAGGTGCGTGTGAGTCGTGCCGTATAGTATGCTCTCAACGAAAGGGACAGTTGTCGACCTGTATAATCAACCCTTGTGCTCGTTCCACAGACAAATGTGTGTAGCGTTTTCAGGCCTAAGGTTTCCTCAATAACACTGGTATTGACTTATAGATAATTATAGAAATTTATGTGTTTAGAAAAGTATTTTAAATATTTAGGATAATAACGTAATGTAACGAGAAGTTAATAATTAAATCAGTGTTTAGAATGAGATGCCAAATTAAAAGTCAATACACATTATTTTAGGTAAAATCTTAAATTAATTAATCTTAACATTTATTAAAAAGTTGATGAAAAATGTTACAGTTGAATTATATTTGAGAGTTTTATTGAGCGCAGTTTATGCAATTTTATTCATAGTAAGTGAATTGTTTCAATTTGTTAGTTTAAACGTATGCGTTAACGGTTAAGGAATGAAGACGTTTCCGCTGTTCATTTAACTGTCATCTGTCACAAATTTGTTTAACTGTCACCTGTCATTGGACACTCTCATATGTTTAACTGTCATCGAACTTCGTAACGCCTTGACAGCGAACTACTGTTTACTCTTCCTAAAGCATATCTTCGCATATCATTTCCGTTCGTTTACTTTCGTAACATGTATTTATCTCATAAGCTGTAGGTACTATTTAGTGATTTGTATCAATATAAATAATGGCCAACATATCAATACATAAAATTAACTTCGGTTAAGGCGCATGAATTTAGAAATTCTACCTTTTTATTACTCCCTTTGTCTTACTAATCTATAGTTTTAAGTTTCAAATATATTTTAAAGGTGTCGTCATTCAGTTTTCTTTTATTTTAGATTAAGCCTTTTGTGTGTTTAATTTCATTCTTATTTTTAGTTTCGTAATTAAACTTATTATCATTGAAAGCTTTTACTTTGATTTCCACCTCCTCGTCTCCTTATCGGTAACCTTTTTCTATTCCTCTGACCGCATTGGATATTTGAAATATGTCTAGCTTATGTTGTCAATGTTTATTTATATACCCTCCATATTGATTCTGATTTTTGAAGTGGTTGATATTATACTTGTAAATAAAACTTGAAATTTTTAAATGGGATCAAAAATAAATGACGTTATCTGCATCGTCGGTACTCTAGAGATATTGCATACCTAGTTCTTAACTGTCCTGTCGTAATACATATTATAAAGACAAGCTGTATTAAACGTTTCAATAAAAATACCTGTCTTTCGACTCTTCTTAGCTTCTTTCAATGTATTAGCTCTTTAATGAATTTAGGAGGATTACAGGTTGTTAAGTTAATTGTGGAGGGGGGTAAGGGACATCAAATATCAATGATGTTATTTTAATGTTATCGTAATTTTCAAAAGAAGCTATGCACAGGGTATACAAATAATATTATTTAACCTCTTCCGATCTCGATTCGGGGAGGTTATTTTATCCGTGCCACGTCCCTTATTCCAAATGAGTTGAAAGAACTGAACCATTTCATATTGAAACGTTGAATTAGACGAGAGTGTATAATTACTGTCATGTCTATAGACACTGTCTGTTGCTATGATGTGGCAGTTATTATGTTAAAATATCCAGTGTAAATACCTATATACAACTTTATAAATAATGAAGATTATAACTATCGGTATTTATTACAGATTTACCTACATAATCATTAATTAAGGAGTTTAGATAAAGTAATCCTATTCTGACAGTAGATACTTTAGAGGTTAATAGATGAATGACAAGAAAAAGTAAAAAAAATCACTGTAGTGTATTATCTCCTCCCTGTTTTCATACTTCAGTTCCACTACTTCCTTTTGAAATAAAAGGTGTGCAAATTAAAAGGGTTGTGTGTAAAGTTAAAATAGTTTATTAGATGTATACAAACAGATTCTGTGCCGAAGTGTTATTTCACCGATTCATGTAAAGCACATCCGTTTATTATGACTGTGAATATAAATATTTAAAAATTACTCTCCTCAATTGTTGTAAACAATAATAATATTCAATTAATGTAAGGGCGAGGGTGTCTCTGTAGTGGTTATTCGTTACTCATACAATTGTAAATTATTTTTTCCCTCGAGGAACCCACTCGCTCTAGTGACTAAAAATGTACTTAGAATTTTAAATAATATTATTTAACGTCATTTCTCATGTATACTTATTTGATTTAGTACCATTGACTCGTTCAAATCATTATTTTCGATGATAAAGTTTAATATATAAACTATTAGAATACTCTAAGGGATTTTGTAATAAAATAATAAAAGTCGTGAGTGCAATTTTATTCCTCTTATGCTACAAAAGAACAAGTTATTAAATACAATAAATAACATGTTTCAACTGCAGAAATGAGCATGTTAACAATTTGGTAAGTATATAAATAGAGTTAAGGGATACAAATAAAATTACATATAAAAAAGGCAACAATCAGTCTTGCGTCATCCGAAACGTCAATCGATAGCGCGTCGACAACAAATCTTTAATGAAATGTTCATAAAAAGCATAATCAGTGTTGGACGTTATCTAACGATAGATTCGACAAGCGAACTCTAACGATACTTTCTGAACAAATAGATTAGAGAATATCATATTTGGAAGAGAAATCTAATATTCTTTTTTCCTGGCTTTATTGTGAGTTATTCATAATAGTTCCTAGAATATGAAAAAAAAAAGATTTTTTTTATATATAACACATAATATCCGGTCACCGCCGGTTACGATGTGGCCATTGTTCCTTCCCTTAACAATAAATATTCAATAAGAGACACTAAGAAACAAAACAGCAATAATATTTCTTTTGTTATCCCATAATATATGATGTCCAATAGGTAGGAATGTGAAGTGTCAAGTTAACCAGTAGATTATGTTATAATCTCAATTATTTAAGACAAATAAAAATAGTGGATTCGTGGTTTATACATCCAGTACTACGAAAAGAATAATAAAGAAGCTTCAAATTTTTCAACTAAAATAATTACGACACCTAGCTCTTAAAACTGCCGCCTGCCGCGTGCCGCCTGACTGTCACTGTAAATTGTTACACGTGATAGGGGTCTTAAGTGCCTGACAATCTCTGCACATTCCATTGTGGCGAATATCTCCGCCTGGAATACGCTAACAAGTTTCTCCAGAGGGATTGATCTAGTTATCTCTGTACCGTCCTCGCATATCATATATATGCCTGACCCTGAGAGCATTGTCTTTTCTTTCCTGGACCCATCTGTGTGCATATTGTGCCCACATTTTCCGCGTCTATTCTCCACTTCTGCGTTTCTTCAATGTGGATTCTGTATCTTTTGTCAAAATCCTTTCCTTTTGTATGAGATCATTATTAGCAAGGATCATTGACATGTTCTTGTCATTTACTTTACCTATGCTAGCATGACCTTTGTCCATAATGTTTCCATAGGTCTGCGCTTTTTAACCTGAACCACGTTTTCGTGGCTTTCCTTTTTATTTCTAGATCTAGTGGCATTAGTCTAGGGATGATCTTAAGCGCCGCTGTTTGGGTCGTCCTCATTGCACCCGTGATTATCAATGCTGCTAATCTCTGCACTTTGTCTAGTTCTATTTTATTGGACTTTAGTGAGGCCTTATGCCACAATATTACTGCAGCATGGGTGATTCTGGGTAATATTATCGCCCTGTATATCCAGGCGATAACATATTATTATATTGGCGATATTGAAGAGTTAGATTTTGGAAACCAGGTGGATGTGATATATGTATTCTGATTTAAGCAAAGTGTTTGACCGTGTTCCGCACACTGTACTTTTATCCAAATTATCGAGTTATGGAATGTCCTCTTTATTTCTGAAATTGATAGAATCATATTTATATGAACGCAGATCTTATGCCGTGATCAATGGTTTTAATTATGCATATCGCCGTGCTATATCTAGTGTCCCACAAGGCTCGCATGTAAGGCATGCTATATTATTTAGCATATTTATTAATGATATCACTATTCGCTTAAAAACTCAAATTTCTACTTATACGCCGATGATTTATAATTTTGCCGAACTTTAAACAACAATCAAGACACTCAGATACTTCAATCAGATCTAAATAGAGTAATTTGGTGTAACGTAAATGGTATGAATGTAAACATTGATAAATGTTGCTTCATGAGATTCTTCAGACGGAACAAGTCTGTTAATTTTAACTATTTTTCAATGGTGTTTCTATTCAAGAGTAGCAAATAATGCGTGATTTATGAGTGGTATTCGACAATCAAATTACTTTTATGCCTCATAAAGAAAATATTGTTAACAAAGCTTTAAAAATGCTAGGAAATAGTAAGGGATATAGGAACCCTGCAACTAAGATAACTTTGTACAATTGTCTTGTACTGTGAAACCGTAAGTTAACATTAATGATCGATTCCATTATCATCGATGTTGCGATTATTGTCGTATGGTAACATCGATGTTTTTGCTTTCAATATCGATTATCGTCGAGCATCCCTACCATAAAGTACTTTTGCAAACTTCCACAGAAAGTCATGTCATATATTAGTTGTCAGACTTATGTCACATTGTCAGAAACTAGGAATAAAAAAATATTGTTCATAATTCAAGCTAAAATAAAAATACTTACAATAGTTGGCCTAGAAAAAATAGAACTATGATAATATAAAAAAGTCGTAGGTAATTGTGTGTGTCGAATGTAGTTAATATTTGGAGTAACTTAGTACATATAGAATTCCCAAAGCATATTGACAATTTCAGTTCGAGTTGAGAGAAGAAAATATTGAATATGAGCAATTAAATTACCTAATATTCACAGCATATATTCGTCATGTTTCGATTTCTTAATAAAACAATACTGTACCAGACGTCATCACGTTTAATGCCGGCTGTTGTAATTCCGTTTTTTAATTCAAATAATGAAAACGACTATGATATGCTTTCTCCAAAAGAAGAAAAGGTTTCTCAAACTGGATGGAACAGAGTTCAATGCATGTTTAAAACGAAGTACGTTTTCTTACTAAATCTTTTTCAAGAAATCAATACTTTTAAAATAGACTAACCTAACCTCAATTACTTTGCAGTGATTATCATGAACTATCCATAGAACTACACAATGTACTCCAAACGTCATTGATGGGTGTCTTTTTTGGTGTATGTTATGGAGGATTTACTAAGTCTAGAGATGCTTACATTTATTTTATAGAAAATAATCAAGCAACATCCTTCAAATCTAACTTTGACGCCAAGGTAATAACTATTTAAAATAAACCACTTATTAAGTACAACACATATTAAGAAGTCTTAGTCTCCATTATAATATTATGAAAATTATTATATCTGGGTATATATTTTGTTGTGAAGTACTGTCTAGTAAGTCTTTGGTTAAACTATTGTAATAATATTATACCTGTGTGTGTATAAATTATGTTTTTTCTTCTAGAGAAAATTGCAAGATTATGTTACAATAGCTTTTGCTAGGGGAGCATATCGATGGGGTTGGAAACTAGGTATTTTCAGCGGTATTTACAGGTACAACATTAAGTTTAATCTTTTGCTTAGCCTTGAAGTAAGTGGTAGAGGTCACTTTGTTTAAATCATCCATCAAAACAGTCAACAATGTTCATACGGCAGAGCATGTAAGAATTGTCTGCCTTTGAAATTGTCTTAATATAATTTGTATTTAACCTATTTTTGAGTCTAATTGTTATTTTTCTGTCATTGTTGTTGATTTTTTTTCTCTGATCAATGACTTGTTTGCTTGAAAATAATAATAATAAGACAAGTTTAATATAAGAACTAATAAATGCCACTATAATATAGGTACTTATAAACTTGTATTCCCGGTTTTCAGTTTAATAGCAACAACAATATCAGTATATAGAGATAAAAACTCTGTGTTGGAGTATATTGCAGCTGGTGCTATAACGGGTTCTCTCTACAAGGCGAACTTGGGTTTAGCAGCAAGTATAGTTGGAGCTGGATTAGGTAAAACAATATGTTAAAATTCTATGGAAACCAAATTCCATTTTAAGCATATAAATTGACAGTTGCATGATTATTTGGTACACTTTAATGAAAATAAATTAACTGTTGTGAGTTTATGAGGATGTATGTTTGTTTCTTTGTCACTACCAAACTGGTTAGCATTTTTTAATAAAATTAAACCAACCAATTAGATTAAATATAGGCTATACAAGAAATGAGCGACCTTACAAATGAAATTACATATTATTTTAATACAAGTGTAGTCTACATGTAAATCTTTGTAAGAAAAGATTTATTTTTATTATAGGTGCAGCATTAGGTGTTGTTGGTGGACTATTAATAGTAGGAATGTTAAAAGTAAGTGGAGTGTCGATGGATGATATAAGAAGATCACTGTACTCAATTAAAGAGTCAAGGTATGTTTATTTAGAAGCACATAAAGAGTCCTGTGTTAAAAAAAAATATGCTGTCCAAACAATTATTGAACTATAGTAAAATTGTTCTGGGAAATTGCAACTCGAAATGGGGTTTCACTTCTAAGGGTCGTAGTCCTTGTGCACTACTTTGTTAAAGGAAGTAAGGCCCCTATTCAGCCATTGAACCTCTTATACTGTTGGTTTGAAAAAAATAATTTTTCTTATTTATAGAATAATTAATAATATTACGATTCTCTTTATAACCAGGGAGAAATACTACAATAAAGGCTATGAAGATACTGCAGAAGAGAAAAATGATAATTTAACTAGACATCATGATGTATTAGTGGAAACTAAAGGACCGAAGGATTTAGATCAAATTGCATAAAATGATCAATTAGTTTGTACAATTGTAAATAAATTATTTATATAAACTTTTTTATTTGTTGGTCCAAAATATTGACATAAAAAATTAATTATGGAAATAGCAAAATTTAACTCAAGGTATTTAAAAATTACTTTATTAAAAAATACATAATACCTATTATTAGAAGCACATTGAATCAATAGCATCCAACTAATTTATTTCTATAACACATCATTCCTATAAAAGTATGGCAAGAACCAATTATAAGAGTCAAGACACATACATTAAATTTTAATGATATTACAATTAGTGTTCTTATTTATTTTATTTACCTTAGATATTTTATTGCACAAAGACAGTCCTTACACTTAATTATACCTGAAGTTTAATACTGTACTTAGTATTTTATTGCATGTTCAAAGACAATTGGTTTAAAATATGATATTTTGTGCTTTATTCTATTTTATATAATTTACAATAGACAAACATAAGCACATACATAAGACATTCGTTTTTGAAGTTTTGTACGCCATAAATATATGATTTTACATATTTTTTGCGGAGCAACAAGAATAAGTTGTGAGACAATTTGGATAAAAGTGGTTAGATTCAGCGCTTCAAGCATTGTCATTTTTTTAAGATGTTAGACCTAGCATTGAATTATAATATTTTACTTTTAGAAGGGAAGACTATGTTATTACTATTTACCTTACAAGAATACTTTTCAAATATGTAAGAAAATAAATATCTAACATTAATTATTCATGATAGAAGCAAAAGCAGATTTTAACTTATATTTTTATTGCTTATTTTATTGTGTAGGCTGAGTCTTGGTGATTCTTTTAGCGCCTCTATTGGGTGGACCCTTCGGTTTCGCAAAAGCTGGTCGGTGCAAATTGACCTTTGGGTGAATTTCATCATATAAGAATTCTTCTGTTAATTCTTTTCCTTCGTCAACTCCAACCTGGAAATAAAAAACATAAGAATTTTAAGTTGTTTCAATATGCTGATGTGACCAAAAGAGTAGATGATAAAGGGGAATTGTCTTAGGACCCATTTAGTCTTTCTTACCCACATTTGACAGACTTTTCTTTTGATACAGTAAAACATCTATACTTATATTATGTTCAGGTTCATAGGAGTTTGTTTGTTAGTTTGAAACCAAAAAATATGTTGTAATTCTGATGCATTTTAAATTATCTAAAATATATCCGTGATTGTATATTTATACTGGTTGAAATTAATGCGTATTAAATTTTTTTTGCTATTGTTGTATCATCATAATATTAATCTTGCAAAACAACAAAATGACCATATCAGCTAGTACCTTACACAAATCTATACCTCACATGTACTTTTTATAATGGGCAACTCAACACAAAAAATAAGTGTTTTAGTAAAAAATACCAAAAGGTTTCCCACAATAGCTTCCCTGTTTCTCTTAGTTTTCGGAATTTTCTATTCTGTCTTAGCAAAGAAAAACACACTGTATATTCTACCGCTGAGCCCACTAAGTGATTCAAATCTTAAAATTATTAATTGGTACTTGTAAACACTTACTCGTTTCGCAACTTGCACACCCATTGATTCAATTAGTTCTAAGAAGTTTCCTTTACAACTTGAGTACATCATCCTTTCTTTTATACTGCATGTGTACCCCGGCATTGAGTATATAAATACTGAAAAAAAGGTCATTATTATATTATTATAATTGCAGGCATAGACATCTATACTAATATATAAAGCTGAAGAGTTTGTTTGAACGCGCTAATCTCAGGAACTACGGGATTTGTGTTGGTTAGAGAATTTATCGAGGAAGGCTATAAAACATCGCCCTGTGACTAATACAAGCGAAGATACAGTAGAAATGTAAAAAAAAAGGGAAAACTATTCATCATTATGGGTTACTGCGGCGTATTCTGTAAAAACAGTACAAGATATCCAAAAAATATGTATGAAAGAATGATTCCTCTTTAAATGATTACAAAAAAAGTCCGCGCTTAAGCTTAAGTTTATAAAGATAAAAGGGTTTGGAAAAACGAATTTGGATGCCCAAAATAAATATTCTTAGTGGATGAAGTCGCTGGCACAGCTAGTAAAAAAATATACATAAAAACTAATGGCGGTTTTTGCTCCTTTGGTGCCTCAATCTTTAAACATTATGCCAAGAATAGACTAGGTTCGCATCATTAGGAGGCTTGAATTTTCAATCCAAAGTTTACAAATAAAAAACGTATGATCCTATTTCCCAAGGTGGGGCGTATACATTTCAGTATCCATTCCTCGATCGATTTTCTTTTGTACAAGCAAGTAGTTGATCTGATTTTTCTGTGCAGCCCGACCAAAACAATCTATTGTTTCTCCGGGATTCGAACCAAGGACGTCTCGCGCTTAATGCAAAGCTAGGCAACATGTCTATTAATTAAGCTACAAATTAAGGGCTGCCTTAACTTTTTCCTAGCTAGAGATTGATATACAAATTTCATCTTTTGCAAGCTTCAAAATAAATACTGTGTAAATATTCACTAACCAATACTGTCCATTTGGTCACCTTCGTGCGTGTGTTTAAATATATAGAGGTGGTACCTCGCCTCCTCACTTGGTACTTGTGCTGGCAACTCAATTAGGGTTATGTTGGCGGCTTTTGCTAGACAGATTTTTTCGTCTTCTAGGTCTGAAACAGCAAGAACATCACATATAAATTCCTTAAATAGTAAAAAAATATCTTTCATGAGTAAAAACTTATCTTATGTTATCAATATGACAAAGCCATAATAAAAATTACGTTTTTACGATTGTCTGCTGATTGTTAACATCTTACCTATTTTAAATTGTAAGTAATTGTAGGAACCACTCTGGAGATCTATAATACCCTGTTTGGCTGACTCGGTTATGGGGAACGCTATTCCTCCCATTGTTGACTGCCTGTAATTAATAATATAAATGTAAAATTTAGTAAATTAATGTTTCATTACATTGAACCAATTAATAAGAATAATTAATACATGTTTATTAAGCAATAAAAGTTACAACATTTACCTTGCATCTGTGCCATAATTTGGATCCTGACCACTTTGATTAAGTTCTTTCAGTGCCTCCTCTCGGTCAGTAAGTGGGGCCGGAGCATTTACTCCACTGACGTGAGCCTTGTACCCTTTGAGGCTAACTTCTTCCTGAAAAGTAAAATAAAGGAAAACCTAAAAATATACATATAATATGTGGATGCTGATTAAAGTTTGAACCATGTCATACAATTTTTTCTATCTACTAATTCTTTCTATCTAGGTACAATTTTTAATTAGTTTATTTTTAATTTATGTGGAACAGGGGGACAGATCTGTTTGTCATGAATAAAATTTATCAGTAAAATGGATTATGGCCCCATGAAAGAAACAGTTCATTACTATACAAAGTAATACTTTGTTTCTTTAAGATCTATAAAAGGTTTCTGTATAATACCTTTGTTGTTGCATGCATTTCATCCTTAATGTGTGAAGAACCAAAGTCTTGTTTTAAAGTTGCTTTCGTAGAAGCATACAACATCTTATGCCTTACAGGAGCACTGTCTGGGGACCAACTAAGCAATAGCCATTCAAATCCAAGAGAATTTGTAGAGTCAAACCTGAAAAATGTATAAAGGATAATCAATTGAGTTTTTCTATAACTTTTTATAGGTTACCAAGTTATATTGTAGCATTCCAATAATTATTACTTAATTAATATAATTATATGCATGAAGATATAAGAAAATAATGAGAGATGGTTCTAGTAGCAGTAAGCTTAAGTTATATATATGTTCATATGTCAATGGAGTAATCAGGTATAACATAAAATAGTGTAATACTTTACCTGTATAAAATATAACATGGTAAATCTTCCACAATTAATGGAGGAACATATTTATCAAAGTCCTGTTCCCACGTTCCTTTGACTGGCTGGTGAGTAGACAATGATAATTGTTCTGTAATTAATATAAAAATAGTTGCATTTTCAATATCACAAAACAAAAATATGTCTACAAGTAAAGAACTTACCATTTTCAATGGTAACTTTTAAAACTCTTATCTTTCCGTCTCTGCATTTGCTAAAATACTTTTGTAGTTGCGCATTAGCTGAAAAAATAAGCGTTGTGGTCATTATTTGCTTAAATTAACGTTTTATTAACACATCAATACAAAAAAGTATATAAGTAGGCAAGTTCAATGAACCAAAGAAAAATGAAGATGAAATATTATAGTGGTAATTCTTAATAAAGGATATATGCCTTGCATTAATATTCATATCCTTTTCAGTGAAATTTGTTATTGTACATATTCAAGTGGTGTAATCTTACCCTGGATGCCAGTCTGGTGAGACATATTTCTAAATTCAGATGCTTAAATTAGAGTTATATGTAGTACAGAATACTATAAAAACTTCGGTCTTATTCGTTAAATAATTACTAAATATAGACGTACATACATAACCATAAACTATAATATAATATTATTTTCGCTTAAAATATCAATAAGATTCTTCAAATTTGACACAATAGATACTGTACGTAGGTACTAACACCTACTTATTTTACGTGACAAGCAATGAAACGTCATCGATAAATGTCAGAAATAATTGTCAAAATACTGGTGATTGTCAGTTTCTTTTGACAATACGATATTATTCTTGCCATAAAATGCATTTTTAAAAATACAATTTTTTCTGATGACTTCACAAGAAAATAGGTATATAATTGTTCTTTGAACCACAGATAAATCAAAGCTAAGTTTTTGGGGTTCTTTATTTTCATTCTGGCAGTATTAACATTAAAAATATTTTTTCTCTTAATTGTTATTTGGCGCCATTTTTATGATTCAATATTGTTAAACGCTGATATTAAGATGTATAATTTTTTAAATGTTACTCTTGATTTTTATATCTTATGATTTAAGAATTATAACCATTTGACGGATTGTAGCGTCTTGACTCTGGGGTATGTACACTCACTATACATTACTTCACTTCAATAAAGTCGCGGTTGTAAACGTCAAATTAATTAATAAAATAGAATAATTCTCCCTTTACTTATTTAATGTCTACATCATACAAACTCCAGTATACGTAAATACCTTTAAATGTCTACAGTGATATTATAAAGTATATTTAGAATATTTAAAAGTATTTACATATAAAATTGTACTCACGGGCATTCCAGAGAAAAAACCCAGAAACTTTTATCCAAATTTGAATTTTGAAGGTTAAAACGATTTTGTATACTCATTGTACTTGAAAAGATTTAGAAATGGGGCACCATAAAATAAAATCATTGACTTGTCTACTGGCCGGTCGACGTTAATTCTTATTATTCCTCGCTCAAAAGGTCTAAGTATATTTTCTTAAACGTTGACCTTAGCGAAGTGGCATAACAATCTGCGGTAATTGGAATACTCAACAAGTTTAAATTGCCGTTATTCAGGCTGCATAGTGCATAAGGCACATTAAATACTTCAGTGCAATTAGGTCGGGTACAACACGGCGTCAGGTGTTTGTTACGCAGTTATGCAAACAATGCGTGAATATACGAGTACACCGTTAATTATGTACTGTGCTGTGGAATTACTTCGCGCTCAATTGGCCTGTTTCATTTATTCCAGATGCCTGTTTTGTTATCTGTGACGAATTGATTAAGACTCCCTCTGACCAATAGGTGAGTATTTGTTATCTATGACTGGTATAGACATGCATGGGGTTCCCTTGATGGTAGGGTAAATACATCAAATATATAACATCTAAATAAAAAGCGATTTCGCCCTTTTTTGTTTTGGACATTCGAAAATCCACAGACTGAAACCAAACCGCGATTAAACTTCATGGTTTTTGCATCTGTAGACGGTGGACTCGGTCGGTATTTTGAAATTCCTACAACCCATTTAATATTTAGATTTCTAGACGCAATCTAACATGTTTCAGGAAAATTATAAATTAATTAGAATTGTTTTGTTGTGGAGTGGAGATCGAACCTAAGATGCTTTGTTTATAAGCCGTACATTGCTACTATTACAATAAAAATGAGTTATTTAATAATATTTATAAGGATTTTTAAAAAGTCTTACTCATGTATCAGTAACTCGATTCTAATCGTAATGTATACGTTTCTAAGAACAATAGTCAAGATAAAAATCGTAAAAATACGTGAACACTGGTATTTTAACGAGATTGGACAAACACAATCTGATACGGTTGTAATTAGTAACCGTTCCTGCTGTGAAATTTGATTTCAACAGTGGAGCTCTCTCACAGGGAATTCAAAATTAAGGATGAATGTTGAGCGGCAAGCGTAGAGCTTACACGCGATTCGATTTGCAAAATGCCATTAGAAATTCAGGGTATTATAGTTACATGATATTATAAGATAGTGAAAAAACTCGCCTAAGTAGTGACCTTTTTTTTTCATTTTATGTGGAGCGTAAGGTGCAAGATATATATATATAATAAAAATGTAATCGAACGCTAGCTATGCACCGGTGATAATATATGAGGCTGCTAGAGGCAGAGTGGCCTGAAACCGTAAATATATTTGTGTAAGAATTATGTTAACAATTATCGGTCACTGTTCTCTTGTAGATTATCAATTTTTGACTATGATAATATAAATAAATAAACTATGTGATAAAAAATATAATAGACCCTTATCAGCGCTAAAGTAACAAAACAATGATGTTTGGAATTATTTTCTGTTTGTCTGTGCGTTAGTGCACGCTAATCTCAGAAACGGCTCCTCTGATCAAAATATGGTTTTCAGTAATATATTGTGGTAAGCTCTACTTGTCATTTGGTGCTTTGTGGAAGCCCTGGGAATTAATATTCCTACCCTACCACCCATTTTAATATCTACATCTAGTATTATTACCAAACGAAGTCAACAATTTTTTAGGAAAATTAAAGTTGATTAGAAGAATGGTGGACGCAGCCGGGTCGAACCCACGTCCCGTCAGAAATCTACTAAGTTATATTATTTTACGCAATATATATATATATATATAAAGAATAAATATAAGTATTTTCATTAAAGTTCTCTTATACGATGCTCAATAAAACAGGTCACGGCCGTTGTTCTTTTATAGAGAATAGTCTTAATGGCTTGCTTCTAATATGAATGCTTGAGTGTCTTTAGAACCTTCGCGTTAGAATAAAAAGAATCTTACACTGCGACCGGAAAAATCTCTTATTGAAAAAGTCTAGTTCGCAGATTAAAAAGATGCAGCGTAAATATTAAAACATTCTTGAAATACTCTTTCGTTTTGAAAGATAACACTTCTAAATCACTTTGACCATTCATAGAATGATTTTAAAATAGAAAATACATTCTTGTAAGACAAAAGTTTAGAAGAGGGTAATAACTACTGTCTATAGTTTACGCGAGTAGTACACATTTAAACAAAACCCTTTAACGGTTTAAAACGCGATATATTAGTTAAACTTATTTTAAAATTATTTTTAACTTCGGTCCGACGTTTCGGTTGCTTTGCAGCAGCCGTGGTCACGGGGAGACGTCGGGCGGAAGTTAAAAATAATTTTAAAATAAGTTTAACTAATATATCGAGTTTTAAACCGTTAAAGTGTTTTATTCAAATTATTTCCAATTATTTCAACCGCCGTATTACCGAAAAAAAGTGTACAAGCGTATTTTGTAAAACTCGGATGATCTATAATTTTTTGTCTTATCCATTTTTTCTGTAAAACTCACCGTTTAGCTGAAAAATGTGAAAATCCTATTCCAAACTTTCATTGTCAATACGTGTTTTTTACAAGGGGTATATTAACAAGGACTTTTTCCCAATTCATATATTTTTTTATTATCTATGGATACGGATGAATTTTTGTAATATAGGTAACTATATTTTAAGGACTACTTTGACCGGACTATTATTATTTTGCGAATATATATTCGATTACAATAATTGAATAATGATCTACATTTAGTAACGTAAGCAGCATTACATTTCATTACACATACATCGTAGATCATATTGTGTTTTTATAAATGTGTATTCGATTACAATAATTGAATAAAGTGCAACGTAAAGCACGGTGAATTGCATGAAAAATGCGAATCAGGGCATCCGTATCGCCTCTCATCAATTAAATATTTCTGACCCATTAGCACAGGTGGCGAGCAACGTAATGGAAGCCATTAGAGCTGCCCCACAGCGAACACTACGTATTTGTAGATTTTTCGCGTCTGCAAACAAAAGGAATCATATAACAATTATGAAGTCGTTAACTTGAATAATGCAGGGATATTACTTTATCATCAGTCTTTGACAGTTGACAGTATGCTGGCTAAATGTGTAAAAATATAGCAGAGTTTATTATATTATATATAATAATATAATAATTATATATAATATATTATAAAGTAAAAAAATATTTAGATTGAAAAAAAAACACGGGCGGAACTTGAACCGCCATCCACAGCACTTACCAAGCTACCGTGCTAGTTTCCTTTTGGTACTTTTTACCGAGGTTTCAACTTTCGGCCTTTAAAAAAAGTTTAATAATTATCTTTAAAAAAGCAGTAAAAGGGACTAGCATTTCTCTTGAGCTATTATTAATATCTACAAATTATAGCGGCCCTGTCCCGGCTTCGCACGGGTAGACATAAATAAGTACAAATATTAAAATTAAGCATGCTAATTAAAACGACCATGAATCACTAGATTATAAAAAAAATTGTATTGCGTAACTAAAATAGTTAGACATATATGCTCTCGGGATGTTTTTTGTAGATATTGATATATTCTATAATATTATCGAACATTTTTTTGTCCTATCAATAATTATTTTCGCATCGTATGCGGAGAAAGACATTTTACGGCTAATGTATGCCTCCCGTTGGTTTTAGTAAGAATTTCTATAGATGCCTATAGTAATCAAATACTAAATAAACCCCATGTTACTCAGTGATAATGTAGCTTTCTAATGAAAAAATAATTATTAAAATCGGTCCAGGACTTTTTGAGTTTATCCGTTACATACAAAAATACAAATCTTTCCTTTTTATAATATTAGTATAGATTTTCCCAATTAGTCGAACACCATCCTAAAAGTTTGTCAAAATTGCTGACCAAAAATTCAATAATTCGTGGTATTTCGTAGATCATTTTGTAGATTCGTAGCAATTATTCCTTTCAACTTTTCATGTAGTTATTTTTTTCCCAGAATTTTGTTCGCACATATTCGTATTTAAAAAACTTGTTAATGAACGCCAGAACGTATAAAATAGTAAAAATTATAATTAAAATTACTGCTTGACATACGTATGTACGTAGATTCTATCTTAGTTTAATCCAATTACCAATACTTAAAATATGTGTACTTA